TTCAGGCCCCTCTTCCTCTGCTCCAGCTCCTCTGGGCTGTAAGGTTTGCTCTCCTCGGGGGCGAAGATGCGGGAAAGCCGCTGCTTCATTTCCTCGTCCGCTTCTTTAAGGATTTGGACCTCCTGGATAGCATGGCCTGAGACGACCGAAATGACTACCTTTTCACTCTCCGAAAAACTTGCCAGGACAATACTGCCAAGAAAAGAGGCACGTATTACCAAGTATAATTAACTGGAGATTAAGAAACACGGGCCAAGAAGTTCAGAGGTAAATGCTCCGTGTAGCCCACATTTCTAGGCAATACAATTTGCTTGAAAACCATCATACCCATGCAGTGCTTAAAGCATGATTGGGGGAGGCAGGGTAGGAATCCAAATATTTTGGGGATCTTTGCAAAAGCACCTTACGTCTTCCAACTTTCAAAAACAACAGCATCTTGATCTGTTGGACACGAGTGCTGAAGGGCAACAATATAGCATTAGGGACTTTTAATAATTAATTATGAATATTTAGCTGTTAATCATTACTCAAATAATATTTTTAAATAATTATTGCCTTCTGAATAAGTTCTGTAGTAAAGTCAGCATGAGTCCAGAGCAAAACTCCTCATAGGTGTTACCTGCTCTCCCCAAATTCAATTTGGCTTTAGGTGAACTGGCCTCATCACCTGCAATATCCCTTTCTCTTAATTAAATAATAATAATAATAATTGCACAGACCCTTTATGTGCAATTTTTATTCCAAGCAAGTTTGGCTTAGGCTTGGGATCCTCTTTTCTCTTTGTGGAGGAAAAAAAAAAAAAAGAAGTAAAGTTTTCCCTTAGTTTTATGGAAACAAAAGCTTGGTACTTACTTAGCAGAAACTGGGTCAACTGTCAGGACCCAACCTTCATATTCATGCTCCTCGGCTGCTGCAACTTTCACTTGTTTATCCACGTAACCTTGCCAGTCTAGCGGGCTTTTCCTTTGCCAGTCATTCATATTTCCTATGTTTAGCGCCCTGGGAAAAAGCCAGAGCAATCAGCAGACTTAACAAATCTCCCTGCTTTGACCCCTCGCACTGAAAGGAAGTTTGTCTCCAGGTGACCATTTCCCATTCACCCGTTTGCCTCAAAAATCACTGTTTTGCTCACTTAATACTTCAAGCACTCTGGGTATTCCTCAGCTGCTGTCGTCTCCGGGAGCCTCCGGAATGGCTGCCCCTGGAGGGCAGGAGCTGCTGCCTTGGCCTCTGCACCGGGACAAGGCTTGCTCCCAAGCTCTTCTCTGGCTCCCCACGACGTTACCCACCCCAGCTCGTGTTCTGCCTCTTCCCCTGCTCATCCGCTCGTGTTTCAAGCCCGGGTCATGCAGACATCTGCCCGCACCATCTCCTTTTCTCCCCCTGGGATCCCCACGGGGAAAGGGCTGGAGAAAGCGGGATGGGGCTAGCGCGGCGCAGCAGGACAGAGTGCCGGAGGCAGCGCCTTGCTTCCCTCCCCTCCGGAGGGGAGGACAGAGCCGCCATCCTGCCGTCCCCGCCTGTTCCCAGCTGCAGCAGCACGAGCAGGATTCCCCCTCCCGCCCGTGCAGCCGGGATCTCCTGAGCTCGGCACCCGCATTCCCGCTCACCGACCAAGCGCCCCGGCCTGCTCAGTGCCGGCGTCCCGAGGAGCGCCGGGGAGCTCGCCCAGGGCCCATGCTGCCGCCGCCACTTCCTGTGGCTCCCTTGGAAACACCCGCCCCTGCTTCCTTGTCTGCTTGAGCGCAACCCTCTACGCTCCTGAGGCAGAGAAATGCCCACATCTGCTCCTCATTACATAGATATTTATGTGTGCACACACGCGTGCCTGCACAAACTGGGTCAAAATGCAAAATGAAGTGCATTGCACAATGAGCATTTAATGCAGCCAGTTTTCTGCCTTCTGTCCCTTAAAGCCTTCTAGGGCTGCTGCTGTTAGCAGGATGGGATTGCGAACCCAGAGCACGCAAGATCAGGGCTGAAACCCTTCCAAGCAGCCTGTGTGCATAGAAAGGTACAGACACATTCTTTATCTGCTTGGTAAAATATGTTGATGCCTTTACCAGCCATTTTAGAGGTTTTTTGGGTTGCCAAAGAATTGGCTTTACAAGCTTTCCTGTGCAACTGAGATGTTGAGAAACACTTTTTCTTTTTTTTTTTTCCAGGAAGCTTCTTTTAAGGCTTCTAATGAAAACCTTCCCATAGGTGAAGCAGACAAGCTTGCATCATTTCAATAATTCAAGCGAAAAGAAGTAGGTGATGATTTTGTGATACTAGCAAAAAAAAAAAAAAAAAAAAACAGTCTAACATGTGAAATACAAAATCTTATTTTGCAAGTCAAAGGAGGCATATCCTTTTTCTTCTTTCTATGAAGATTCAATTCAATTTGGACAGAGTGGTGATGGTTATTCGTGAGTGATGCATGCAGTATTCAGTTCTTGTTTTCTTTCAAAATTTTAGTTTATTAGGAACAAGGGATTAGCAAATCCGATTGCTTTCACTGTAGCAATGGTAAGGGCATGGTGGTGGCACTGTCTGGACCCACAGCAGGGACAGATATGTTACCCCATTGCAGGAGCGTGCCAGGTGCACCGAGCCCGTAAACGCACAGAGTGGGTATCCACACCAAGGTCTTCATTTAATTCTGTGCAGAGCCAGATGCTTGGCCATCCTGCACAAAGCAAGCCTTCCCCAAGGCATTATGTAAATTCCTACTTGTTACTGCAGGGTTGGTTAGTTTACTTACATATATTCCTATCTATGTGAGCATGCGCGTTACATAGGTTCCGGTGTTTCAGGCACAGCAAGGCAGTAATGGTCTCATTGTCAGATTCATAAATGTGCTTTTTTTACTATGTTAATGAAGCTTAAACAGATTTAGCTTGCTTTAGGCTGTTTGCTGCTCGGTTCTGCTTTGTCTCCAGATCTGTGTAGGCCTTGTCACCTACATGCAACTATGAGGTTGCACATTTCAGCTAGCAGGTTGCACATTTCATTTTTTATCTCAAGGCTACACTGCTGAGCATTGGTCCATGGTGAGGAATGCCCGTGGGGTGGGGGAAATTAAACTGGGTTTTGTACTAATAGTGAGTAGGCACATAAGTAACATTCTCAGTGCCATTACAAATTAGCTGCGTATTGGTTACTTTCTGCAGAACTCAGTTAGTGTCAACAAAGCAAAGGCAGACATCTGCTTTAGATACACTAGCTATATGAAAAGAATAAAACAAAGGTCTCATAATTTGGGAAACAATATCCAAATCATATCAATTTATGAGAGTAACAGAAATATGTATATATATACATTAGAATTTTAGTGTAACTGCAATACTGTGAGTGGAGCTGGTATGCCTGTGTAACCCGTAGTTAAGACATCGTCCCCTTATTGTCCTCCTGCAATGCAGAAAGCAGAGTTGCTCTAAGCCCCGTCCAGCACAGAATTGATTCACATGGAAGCTAGATATGCATGCATAAAGCTAGCACGTTAGCACGTGCTGTCTTCAACCAATGTAGCACTAACATGGGACGGCCTCGAGATAGAAGCCAAGCCTGAGCTGTGATGGTCCCATGATGCCCTGATCGCTCATGAGCTTGCCAAGCTTGCTTTAACTCTGTAGAAGTTGCCATCTGATTGACTGCTCTATTATGCTGTGTTTGAGGATCTCCTGATTTTGATAGGTATCCATGTGTTGCACACAGCTGTAGTTGGCACAGTGTCACAGATCCTTTCCTGCACGGGGCTCCCCTAGGTTCCTTATCATGGATCTTCCATTGTGAGGTGGCCCATGTTGGTAACCAGGTTAGCAGACCCTTGTATGCTACTCAGCTACGAGTATAGAGGTAGCAGGCATTTCCCTCATGAAAAGATGTAGCCATAGTCTTTAATTCAGTCCATTGACTTGAGTATCCCAAGGTTGCACGCAGGATGCTGATGTCCTTTCTCCCCCTCTTCAATTGCCTTGTAAATAGGGTTTCCACTGCCAGTGAGCTGCAGCTTGGGCCATCCTCACATGGGTCCTGACTGTATTATCTGTCACCCATGCTTGAATGGGGATGGGGGTTTATACAGTGAGAAACAATTACACATCCTGTAACTTGTTTGGTACCCTTCAAAGCCTGCAGCACTGCCAAAAGCTCTTTTTCTAGAGATGCATAATTTGTTACAATTTCCCCTTGTAGGGAATGGGACCAAAAACCTACAGGTTCCCACCTTGTGTGGGCACATTGCTGCCACGACCCCAGAGACTGCACATCCCCCATAACTGTCACCTCCATCTCGAAAGGTTATCCCTCGTATGGAATGAATATTTCAAAATGTTGGACCACCGCCACTTGCACCAGAAGTCCCCCAAAGGCTTATAGCCGTCTTAGAGCAGTGGGAACAGGGTACTGCTGAATAATAATACCATGTGCTTTCTCAGGGATGGCTTTTGTCTGCCCCCTATAGACTATCCATATGAATTGCACACTGGTGTCCAGCCCCCATATGTTTTTGGGGATTTACAGCCCACTCAATTCCTGGACGGTCTGTAGTAACGATGGTGAGTGTTCACCTACTCGTCCTTTAGAAGCTCTCGTTATTAACCTATCATCAATATAAAGGTGGATGGGACACCCCGTAAGGGGGGGGTGTACAAGAAAGCACCTAATACAGAGGTTCATAACCAGTGATATAATGCTGAAGTTAAAATAACACTTCCTGCCCCCTCCCATGCAGAAATTAGCTGGGTTAGATAATACTGTACTTGAGCATCTGTTGATAAAGGGCTCATTAAATTCAGCTCTTCTCTTAAAAGAGAAAGCAATCTGGTACGTGCATCTCAGGCTAAGATGTCCAAAAAGACTCCCCAGGCTGCTGCTGGAAAGTAGTTAAGAAACGTATGGACGGAGGGGACCCTACGGGCCTTCGCGTGGCCTCCTGGGGGCACCAGGCTGGTGAGACCCGGGGGGGCCTGTCGCGGAATGAGTGGTGGTCTGGGTGAGTGACACATTGCACTTCACTCGTGGGAAAGAAACAGGAATAGGTTTTATTGGTAATGACAATGGTTTCACGAGATTCTATGGCAAGGTCACTTATTAGTTACTGCGTGGAGGTTCAAGATACACACAGAATTACCAAGGACACCCTCCCGTTGGGTCACAAGGTTCAGATTGCTTCTCCTTCTGAGAGGAGTTTGGGTGCAGCAGGATCCAGTCCTAGTCCCAGACCTGGTCAACAGTTTATGACTAAGGGATTTGTACACAGTTACAAAGTAAAGTTTACAAGTTCAAAAAAAAATAAATAAATAAAAAGAGAAGTGCGCTATAGTCACTTACCACAAATCTGTAGTGGGAAGGATCTCTTAACCCCGAGGAGTATCCTTGACAGGCATCCCTGGTGAAGGGGAGATCCTGGCGTGCTGCCCGCCGCGATGCAAGGAGAGCTCAATGGGCTCTTGGGCTGTCCCCATATTTATGGGATAAGATGATTGACTCATTCTTTCAATTCAGAAATGACTGTTTGCTGGTGTACTCACAGTTAGCCTTATCTCCCCATCAGGATACAGCCATCAGGACTGTTATTGATGGTTAATGTCTGGATGGGGGAAGAAATCAGGGAAGCAACTACCAGGATCAAATAATGTTGTAGTTAACACCCAAACTACGTGGGAGAAGTCGGGTTGAGCTGGGGAAGGAGCACATCCATCCCACTCCACCCCCTGACTATAGTCAATTCATCTTATCATCACAGAGTCGTGGTATGGTCACCTCTTGCCTCTGTGCCATAAATAGTGTATTGATAATTTTTGCACTTACAGGTCCATCGCAAGCGAACATATTTAGCATAAAACACCTTGCCTGTGTGACCTAGGTTTTGATGTAACCATTCTCCCAACCAAAACCACTCAGGATCTAAGGTGATTTTCCTAATTTTAGTCAACTCATTTACTTTTTGATTCCACTTTGTGGCTGGTTGATTATCCTTAGCATGGGTTTTTACCCATCCCATTTTAAATGGTGTTTTTCTCGCTGTATCCTGCAATAGCTGCCAATCCTGT